TGCTGATAAGTGTACAATCTACAACATATGTAGTGCCATTGCTCTACACAATCTTATTTCTGTGATCATTTAATTTCTACAAGTTTAAAGTGGAGCTCCAGTCAACTCTGAAAAAAATAAGTCAGCAGCTACAAAAACTGTAGCTGCTGACTTTTAAAAAAGCTGCCACTCACCTGTCCTACGAACCAGCGGTGTATTCACACCAGCTGGGTTCACCGGCTGTCCTCTCTCACCGGTGCCAGCATCTTATTTGTGGGCATCCCGCTGTGGCCGCGCCTTGTGAATGGTCCTGTTGTCTTCTGGGACCTGTCACATTTCACAGAAGAATGCAGGGGGGTGGGTGTTGAGGGTAGGGACAACTTCTGTCTCTGATCGTCTAGGTGAGGTCAGACTGGAAGTGGGAGCAGGTCAAAATTGGGTACCTGCTCCCCAAAGGCGCCATTTCCTCACAGGGAGTGGGGGACTAGTTCTTAAAGTGGAACTTCCCCTTTTAGGTGGAGCTCCGCTTTAAATACTCCATTCTCCAAAATCTCAGGTATGCTGGTTGGGCTGTGCCTAAATTCTAGGAGTGGAAGCTTTGGAAAACCAAAAACAAAAGTAGAAGGTGCTCCAGCCTTGCACGTTACCTTAAAAACTCTTTATTGAAGAATTAAACAGTTGTGGCCCGAGTTGTGCTGGACACTGCCTACGGTTGATATCACATGCTGTTTGTGAGTACACAACTGTTTATTTCTTCAATAAAGAGATTTTAGGAAATGTTCAAGGCTGGTGCACCCTCTGCTTTTGATTATCCAGTGCTCTTTTTGGGCTTCCCCACTCCTCAGGGGGATGAAAAGTCATACTGACAAAGACACAAGGTTTTCCATTGCCGGAAAATCCACCTTGATCACAGGAGGTTGTTTGTTTTGTTAGTAGAAGCTTGGCATATACGTCTTTGTCAGGCAGCACCCACAAACTATACCACACAACAAACCCTAGTCTTTAGCTTCCTCTTTCTCCAGGCAACCACATATTGTAACAGAACATATATACATAGCAATGCAGTGTATATATTGCATACTGTGTTGTAACCTGCAAGCCAGTTAGGAAGAAAAGTACATTTTTCTGCAAAAAAGTAAAGTTTATCTTAACCCAAGGCCAAAAAATGAATATACTGCAGTTTATCAGTGCTTACGTCTCATTCACACTGGCACTCCTGTGTTTAACTTTTCTAAACTCAGGAGAAGTAATGTGGGAGGTATAAACAATATGCTTCCCAGATCACTTTTCCCTGTGTTTGAATGTTCCTGCTTTAACCAGTTCCATTCTGAGCCAATTCTGACATTACTCTCCTACATGTAAAAATCAGCATTTTTTTTTGCTAGAAAACTTCTTAGAACGCCCAAACATTATATATGTTTTAACCCCTTTCCCGAAAAGGAGGTACCCGTATGTCCTCTGGTTGAAGTGATTATACCGGGGCCATGGCTATACACACTGGTATACAGAAAGATACTCACATGTGAATGAGTCATTAAAGCGGAATTAAACTCTCAATTTTTTACTTTTTGTTCTTGCTACCTACTTTCTGGCCTAAGCCAAAATTATGTCATGCATCCCTGAAACTTTCATAGGCATTTTTTCCCTTTAATCTGCCTTCTCAGCTGAGCACATCCTCCTGCCTACATGTCTGAGCTAAGGGCAGATGGATTCCAGGAAGTAAACTCTACATAAATCATCTGCTCCCATTCAAGATAGCTGTGGCTAGAAATGCTAGGGTGGTGTCTTTCAAATTGATTTCTTAACAAAATAAAGCATGGAGGAATGGCTAATAGGGGAGTTTGTTCTGAAAACTAAAAATTTATTAAATGGTATTTTCAGTTTGTGGTGCTCAGAAACAGTTTAGTTCCGCTTTGAAGAAAATAAGTCTGCAATTGTGTAAGACGGAGGAGGCAGATGAGAGGAAATGTTTTTTGTGGGTGAAGGTCTGCTTTAAAAGTGCATACATTCTCTAAAGTGAATCTAGACTCTGTTTATAATAAATGTAAAGATTAAACTATTTTTGTATTTTAATGGTTTTTATTAATTTTAAACATTTTAAACAAAGAGAGACGTAAGCAAAAGGTACACCCACGCAGGGACTATCAATGGCACATAAAATACAAAGGGAAGCAACGCCATAGGCAGCAGTGTAAAAAGCACGCGCAAGCAGGGGCCATCAATGGTACGGAAAATATAAAGATACAGTGTTGTAATGTCAACAGTAAAGCAAAGCAAAGGCAGATATCAACCCCCTCACAAAAATCAGTCAAAAACAAAAAGACAATAAGAGTAAAGGAAGGAGAAGAACCCAAAACCAACAACAGGGATCCAGGAACGCCAATACCGATCAACAACCTAAGCCCAGAAGATGAAACTATTTTTTATTTTAAATAGTGTGAGGAAGGGTTAAAATCCTTGTCAGGTTTAGTTTTGCTATCTGTGTCCCATTTGAGAGAGTTTCATTAACTTGTATTCCTGTAGACTAAGTGAGGTAAATTCATGTTGCCACAGGGACAAGCACCCATGTTGACAAATTTCCTCTATTCTCGTTCTGGTAGCAACTCAAAATTTAGGAATTTTCAGTTTCAGTGCCAGTGACAATGGTCACCAGGACAAAGGGCTCCATTCAAAAAAGCAGATCACATGTGGTATTTAGGTGTTTTCGCAAATACCACATGTGATCCTGAAAATGTCAATTCACTATTGCTTTATGTGGTGCATAAAGCAAAAACTCCTTGTAAATACCACATAAAACAGGAGTTAAAGTCAATTCACAAAAGGAAATAAATAAAGAATGCAGATGGTGAGATACTGCAGATATTCTACAGGAGATGATCAGAGACTGCAGACACAGTACAGGAGATGATCAGAGACTGCAGACATAGTACAGGGGATGACCAGAGACTGCGGACACAGTACAGGAGATGGCCAGAGACTGCGGACATAGTACTGGAGATGGTCAGAGTCTGCAGACACAGTACAGGAGACAGTCAGAGACTTCAAACATACTACAGGAGATGACCAGAGACTGCAGACATACTACAGGCGACAGTCAGAGACGGCAGATGGTGAGATACTGCAGATATTCTACAGGAGATGATCAGAGACTGCAGACATAGTACAGGAGATGATCAGAGACTGCAGAGATAGTACAGATGACAGTCAAAGACTGCAGGCATACTACAGGAGATGACCAGAGACTGCAGACATACTGCAGGAGACAGTCAAAGATTGCAGATGGTGAGATACTGCAGATATTCTACAGGAGATGATCAGAGACTGCAGACATAGTACAGGAGATGATCAGAGACTGCAGACATAGTACAGGTGACAGTCAGAGACTGCAGGCATACTACAGGAGATGGTGAGATACTGGAGAGATTCTACAGGAGATGGTCAGAGACTGCAGACTTAGTACAGGAGATGATCAGAGACTGCAGACTTAGTACAGGAGACAGTCAGAGACTGCAGATGGTAAGATACTGCAGATATTCTACAGGAGATGATCAGAGACTGCAGACATAGTACAGGAGATGATCAGAGACTGCAGACATAGTAAAGGTGACAGTCAGAGACTGCAGGCATACTACACGAGATGGTGAGATACTGGAGAGATTCTACAGGAGATGGTGAGATGCAGGAAAGATTCTACAGGAGATGGTCAGAGACTGCAGACATAGCACAGGAGATGGCCAGAGACTGCAGACATAGTACAGGAGATGGTCAGAGACTGCAGACATAGTACAGGAGATGGTCAGAGACTGCAGACATAGTACAGGAGACAGAGACTGCAGGCATACTACAGAAGATGGTGAGATACTGGAGAGATTCTACAGGAGATGGTCAGAGACTGCAGACATAGTAAAGGAGATGGTCAGAGACTGCAGACATAGTACAGGAGACAGTCAGAGACTGCAGATGGTGAGATACTGCAGATATTCTACAGGAGATGGTCAGAGACTGCAGACACAGTACAGGAGATGATCAGAGACTGCAGACACAGTACAGGAGATGATCAGAGACTGTAGACATAGTACAGGAGACAGTCAGAGACTGCAAACATACTACAGGAGATGACCAGAGACTGCAGACATAGTACAGGAGATGACCAGAGACTGCAGACATACTACAGGTGACAGTCAGAGACTGCAGATGGTGAGATACTGCAGATATTCTACAGGAGATGATCAGAGACTGCAGACATAGTACAGGAGATGATCAGACTGCATAGTACAGGTGACAGTCAGAGACTGCAGGCATACTACAGGAGATGACCAGAGACTGCAGACATACTGCAGGAGACAGTCAAAGACTGCAGATGGTGAGATACTGCAAATATTCTACAGGAGATGATCAGAGACTGCAGACATAGTACAGGAGATGATCAGAGACTGCATGCAGACATAGTACAGGTGACAGTCAGAGACTGCAGGCATACTACAGGAGATGGTGAGATACTGGAGAGAGATCTACAGGAGATGGTGAGATGCTGGAAAGATTCTACAGGAGATGGTCAGAGACTGCAGACATAGTACAGGAGATGGTCGGAGACTGCAGACATAGTACAGGAGATGGTCAGAGACTGCAGACATAGTACAGGAGACAGAGAGTGCAGGCATACTACAGGAGATGGTGAGATACTGGAGAGATTCTACAGGAGATAGTCAGAGACTGCAGACATAGTAAAGGAGATGGTCAGAGACTGCAGACATAGTACAGGAGATGGTCAGAGAGACTGCAGACATAGTACAGGAGATGGTCGAGACTGCAGACATAGTACAGGAGATGGTCAGAGACTGCAGACATAGTACAGGAGACAGAGAGTGCAGAGTGCAGGCATACTACAGGAGATGGTGAGATACTGGAGAGATTCTACAGGAGATAGTCAGAGACTGCAGACATAGTAAAGGAGATGGTCAGAGACTGCAGACATAGTACAGGAGATGGTCAGAGACTGCAGACATAGTACAGGAGACAGAGACTGCAGAAATAGTAAAGGAGATGGTCAGAGACTGCAGACATAGTAAAGGAGATGGTCAGAGACTGCAGACATAGTACAGGAGATGGTCAGAGACTGCAGACATAGTACAGGAGACAGAGACTGCAGAAATAGTAAAGGAGATGGTCAGAGACTGCAGACATAGTAAAGGAGATGGTCAGAGACTGCAGACATAGGACAGGAGATGGTCAGAGACTGCAGACATAGTACAGGAGATGGTCAGAGACTGCAGACAAAGTACAGGAGACAGAGACTGCAGGCATACTACAGGAGATGGTGAAATACTGGAGAGATTCTACAGGAGATGGTCAGAGACTGCAAGCATACTACAAGAGATGGTCAGACTCAGGTCAGTAATCCTCTTTACAAAGTACACCCAAGTGACAAAAGGCAGCAGCACTTCCAATTTCCAAAATAAAAATTGTCTTACAAAGAGTCAACTCAATTAATGAGTCTGTAAAGCTGCTAGCCTGAACCAGCAGTACAGGAATCAGGCAGGAACAATGGAATATGATGTCTTTAGAAACTGAAAGTACATCGCAGAGGAGAAGTTGCAAAGCATGCACTGAATCCAGTAAATTGTAGAAAGAGTTGGCCAGCAGACAGGCAGCACATACAGAATGAAGGGATATTTTCCCAAGTTTGTACTGTTATAATGCTGATATTACAAAATAAAAGCATTTGTTGTGACTTTAGAACTCCTTTAATTTAAATTGATAAGTTTACTTTAAGAACTTACCAACATTTGTTGTCAGCAAATAACTGCTTTATAAAAAAAAAAACCCAGAGTCATCAATAGGAGTATTTTGATTGAGTTGATGGAGCCTGTACCTGGTGTCATATGTGGAAGCCCGGGATGACCAGCCAGCCATATTGGTAAGGCACACAGTCCTTTATTTTTCAAATTCAGGCAAACGGAAAACAGCTTTGTCAACAGCAAGGGAATACAAATGAAAATAGCTTTCTTCAGCAAAACAAACAAACACAGTCCATCATTTTGGAGTGATGAAAATAAGCGGCTCACCACTGTCCCACACTAAAGTTTCAGGGTTCCTGCCTGTTTCAGGGTGCTGGAAGACCGCATGAGCTTGGCAAACCCTGCCTCAATAGCCAGACAGCACACATTTTTCCACATCTGTGATCTGCCTTACACTCCACCCAGGGGCGGACTGACAACTGCCCCCAGGCAAAAGGGGATCATGGGGCCCCTATGTCCTTGCCAAAACTCCAAAAAGCCTATGAAAAAGGTACCAGGGGAATCTCATGGGGCCCCCTACTGACCCCGGGCCCTTGGGCATTGCCCGAGTTTCCAAATGGTCAGTCCGCCCCTGACTCCATCTCACTCGCAGGTGCTGCTTCCTTTCTGCATCCTTTCAAGCTTTTCTTGCAGGCAGGTAAACTCCTTCATGACCAAAGTCCTTGTAATCTGGGTTTGAAAGTTCTTCCTCACCCAAAGTCTCTCCAAACCTCAAATTTGAGCTCCCTAATGAGGATTTACCAATCCAGAGATTACTGACAATCAGTCCTCTCCTCTCAGAGCAGACTACGCTGGAACCCTTCACCTTGCATGGGTGAGAACCCCATAAGTACTAACAATGTCCCTTGAGCTTTCCATTAAAGGGACCACAACCAAATAGTGCGGAAATATATCTCCACCCAGGACCCATCTCTGGCATCCTGTAGACTAGGAATGACCTTGGGAATCCTGAAGAGTTGGGAGTATACACAAGGGAATTTTATTTTGGGGAAGGGAGCACAGTTGGCCAGAAGTACGGACCCAGAAGAGGGGTTGAAAGAATGGATGGGTTTGAAGGAAGCTTGGAACAGAGGGTAAGTTTTTTGTATTATTTCTTTTCATTCTCAAATAAAATGTTCCCAGATTGTGACGGCTATTTCTATTGAAATGAAATTGTGTAATTCAATATTTTTCGTGCATGTAAGTATCTGCATACACTCCATTTTTTTAAGCAATTGTTATTTTGTTGCTTTTTTAATGTTAACCACCTACAAATCTATGGGGTAATTTTATTATTTCCTAGCACCACAGTGGTTAATGGTTAGCACTTAGCTGGTAGGTTAATTGGCTCCTGTCTAAAATTGGCCCTAGTATGTGTATGTATGAATGTGAGTTAGGGACTTTAGACTGTTCACCCCTTGAGGGTTAGGGACTGATGTGAATGTACAATATATATAAGTAAAGCACCGCGTAAATTGACAGCACTATATAAGTACCTGTAATAAATAAATAAATAATATTGAGTTAAAATTAATTTTTTAATGTTCATAGTGTTCATATCAGTAATAATTTTCTCATAAAATCAAGATCTAAATGTTAGCTGAATAAATCTGAAATATGTTATACCAGATGAATCTCTATAAAGAACTGTTGAATATGTTGACATGCTTAAACCAATGCTTGATGAATCACTTAACAAATACAGGGTTTATATTGTTTAATGCACTATTGTCTAGCTCTCCAGGTATCGATTTTGTATATGTATATATAGTATGATATGTCAGATAGACAGACATACAGTTGCAAGAAAAAGTATGTGAACCCCTTGGGATTACGTGGAGTTTTGCATGAATTGGGCATAAAATGTGCTCTGAACATCATCTAAGTCACAACAGTAGAAGAACACAGTCTGCTGAACATAATACTACACAAACATTAGATGTTGCCATGTTTAATTGCACATAACATGTAAACATTCACAGTGCAGGGAGGAAAAAGTATGTGAGGCCCTAGCTTAATGACTTCTCCCAGAGCTAATTGGAGCCAGGAGTGAGCCAACCTTGACTCCAATCAGTGTGATGATATTGGATGTGTTGCTGACAGCTGTCCTGCCCTTAAAAAATACACACCTGTTTTGGGTTTACTGGTTTCAAGAAGCACTATCTGATGTGAACCATGCCTCGCAGAAAAGAGCTCTCAGAAGACCTACGATCAAGAATTGTTGACTTGCATGAAGCTGGAAAGGGTTACAAAAGTATCTCCAAAAGCCTTGATGTTCATGTGTCCACGGTAAGACAGACTGTCTACAAATGGAGAAAGTTTAGCACTGTTGCTACTCTCCCTAGGCGTGGTCGTCCTGTAAAAATGACTGCAAGAGCACAGCGCAGAATGCTGCATGAGGTAAAGAAGAATCCCAGAGTGTCAGCTAAAGACCTACAGAAATCTCTGGCACATGCTAACATTTTTGTTGACACATCTACAATACGGAAAACATTAAACAAGAATGGAGTACATGGGAGGACACCACGGAGGAAGCCATTCCTGTCCAAAAAGAATATTGCAGCACGATTGACGTTTGCAAAAGAGCACCTGGATGTTCCACAGCACTACTGGCAAAATATACTGTGGACAGATGAAACCAAGATTGAGTTGTTTGGGAAGAACACACAACACTATGTGTGGAGAAAAAAAGGCACAGCACACTAACATCAAAACCTCATCCCCACTGTGAAACATGGCGGAGGGAGCATCATGGTTTGGGGCTGCTTTGCTGCCTCAGGGCCTGGACGGATTGTTGTCATTGATGGGAAAATGAATTCCAGAGTTTATCAAGACATTTTGCAGGAAAACGTACGACCATCTGTCCGCCAACTGAAGCGCCACAGAGGATGGGTGATGCAACAGGACAATGACCCAAAGCATACAAGTAATTCAACAAAACAATGGCTGCAACAGCACAGAATACACCTTCTGGAGTGGCCCAGTCAGAGTCCTGACTTCAACCCGATTGAAATGCTGTGGCATGACCTTAAGAGAGCGATTCACACCAGACATCCCAAGAATATTGCTACACTGAAACAGTTTTGTGAAGAGGAGTGGTCCAAAATGACTCCAGATCGTTGTGCAGGTCTGATCTGCAACTACAGGAAACGTTTGGTTGAGGTTATTGCTGCCAAAGGAGGGTCAACCAGTCATTAAGTCCAAAGGTTCACATACTTTTTCCTCCCTGCAATGTGAATGTTTACATGTTATGTGCAATTAAACCATGGCAACATCTAATGTTTGTGTAGTATTATGTTCAGCAGACTGTGTTCTTCTATTGTTGTGACTTAGATGACGTTCAGAGCACATTTTATGCCCAATTCATGCAAAACTCCACGTAATCCCAAGGGGTTCACATACTTTTTCTTGCAACTGTACATACAGTATATATATATACTGTATATATATATATATATATATATATATACACACACTATATTGCCAACAGTATTGGGAAACCCCTCCAAATCATTGGATTCAGGTGTTCCGTTCACCTCCATGACCACAGGTGTATAAAATCAAGCACTTAGGCATACAGACTAGTTCTACAAACATTTGTGAAATAATGGGTCACTCAAGAGCTCAGTGAATTCAAGCATTGTATTGTGATAGGACCTCTGAAGATGCCCAGTGGAAGGGGCGAAACGTGTCAGCTGCAGACCGTGGTGACGTAATTTCTGGCTGGTGGAGCGCACGCTGCTGTGGGACTTCCTGGTTCAGTAGTTTTTTAATGCCTGTTACTATTAAATCAATGAAATTGCAATATATCCGCTGTTATCCATTGGATTTTAATAAATGGAATCACACTATGTGGCCTCCTTCCTCTATTCCTTATGTATGAGCATCCTCCACAATTGATGTATTGAGACAAGCAAGTACAGCCAGGCAGAGGCAGACTGCAAGTCCCAGCAGAACCAGAAAATATCCACTAAAGCAAGTTTGACTCTTGTTTGATTATAAGAGTCCACAAAAGTCGGTGAGTGAGTAGGACCACTGGTGGGGAGCACAGTGCATGGATTGCACAATCATATGAAGAGCATCTTAGTACTATTTGGAAGATATTGATATCATTTTCACACACATCACATGGGACTGTATTGAGGCATATTCATGTTTTCTTTATAATTATGAGGGGATCACACAGGGATTATACATTTGTGAGGGATAGCACCCTTAATAAGAGCTGCAGCCATTTTAGACAATTTTTTTTGTTGGACTATCTTAATTTATATGTGGTTTACTGTATGTGTTTATATATTTTTTGATTTATGGTGTTGTTACCACAGGCTGGTACATTCACACTAAGAGTTTATAATCCTGAGAGCAGGATAAAAAATATTATTTGTATTGGGACACCCCACCAAATCATTGGATTCAGGTGTTTAAATCACCTCCATGGCTGCAGGTGTATATAATATCAAGCACCTAGGCATGCAGACTGCTTCTACAAACATTTGTGAAAAAATGAGTCACTCTCAGGAGCTCAGTGAATTCAAGCGTGGTACCATGATAGGTTGTCACCTGTGCAATAAGTCCATCCTTGAAATTTCCTTGCTACTAAATATTCCACGGTCAACTGTTAGTGTTATTATAACAAAGTGGAAGCAACAGGGAACAACAGCAACTCAGCCACAAAGTGGTAGGCCACATAAAATGACAGAGTGGGGTCAGCACATGCTGAAGCGCACAGTGCGCAGAAGTCGCCAGCTGTCTGCAGAGTCATTAGCTAAAGACTTCCAAATAGATTAGCACAACAACAGTGTGTAGAGAGCTTCATGGAATGAGTTTCCATGGCCAACAGCTGCATCCAAGCCTTATATCTCCAATTGCAATGCAAAGCGTCAGATGCAGTGGTGTAAAGCACTCCGCCACTGGATTCTAGAGCAGTGGAGACATGTTCTCTGGAGTGAAGAATCACTCTTCTTTGTCTGGCAATCTGATGGATGTGTCTGGGTTTGGAGGTTTCCAGGAGAACGGTACTTGCCTGCATTGTACCAAGTGTAAAGTTTGGTGGAGGGGGGATTATGGTTTGGGGTTGTTTTTCAGGAGTTGGGCTTGGCTCCCTAGTTCCAGTGAAGGTAACTCTTAAAGCGTCAGCATACCAAGACATTTTGGACAATTTCGTGCTTAGTGGGAACAGTTCGGGGATGGCCCCTTCCTGTTCCAACATGACTGCTCACCAGTGCAGAAAGCAAGGTCCATAAAGACATTGAGTGAGTTTGGGGTGGAGGAACATGACTGGCCAGCACAGAGTCCTGACTTCAACCTCATAGAACACCTTAGGGATGAATTAGAACTGAGACTGCGAGCCAGGCCTTCTCGTCCAACATCAGCGCCTGACTTCACAAATGGGCTTCTGGAAGAATGGACAAACATTCCCATAGTAAACAGAGATAATTTTTACATTACACTTTAAAGTGAAACTAAATCCAGAAATTGAACATTTGTTATAAAACATCTATAAGTCTTAATCGTGTCTTGGCAGCACCCTGAAAAATAACCTTTTATCTTGAATTTCTCCTGAAAAATAGCAATACAATTACTGGTTTGTGTGTGTTCCTAGGCTCTCATGTTGCTAAATCTTCACAGTTGAATATCTGCAAACAAATGTTACTGCTACATCATGACTGTTGGCCTCATGAGATTTGGAGTGTGATTTTATCATTTCACTTCTCTGCTGCCTTCTATTCTTGCAAGAGGCTCTAATAATTGGAAGTAAAACCTTCACTCCACACAGAGACACAATGCAGAAAATAGCATTACAGGTCAGTAATAGGAGAACTATTATCTGCAGGGAGGTCACATGCAATACAAGTGCCTAGCTAGCCTTTTCCTTTCTGCTTTCATTTTTTTTGGGCACAGCTTTCAGAGTTCAGTTGATTGTAGCACCCCCTTACTCCCTAAAGGTGGTTAGGGTCCTCAAGATGGCTCAGTGGGTTAGCATTTTACCTCAGAGTGGGCTGAAAAGAAAATGAGCACCAGTGACTTTAAGAAGGTTTAACAGAGTTTATTGTAGAACCAATAAACTCAAGGGGAGAGGGTTTAGGGCACAAGATACCTGAAAAGACCAAAGAAATGTACAGTATCTCCACTCACAGCCAATACAGATGAAAGGACCTGAAAGCTGAACTTCAGGAATTTAGCCACTTTTTAAAGGTATAGCCATATTATTAGTTAAGTGCAACAAGGTGTATGCAGTCTCGAGGACTTCGTTTTAATTTACACCTGACAGTTTTATGGAGTTCCAGAAGGATGGCTTTTTCTATATTTCCGGAGCTCCAATCTTGGACCTTCTGGTCTCAGCTTGAAGAGTCACATACAACTGCTGTGCCCATGCCTCCCCTCTGTTGCTCATTCACAGAAACCTTTGTATTTTGTGAACTCATTCACAAAATACAAAGGCTTGTGTAAATAGGCAGAGGAGAGGTGGGCAGAGATACTGTGTATGAGAACACAGCACCTCATCTCTCAGTCCAGAAGTGTAACCTTTGGGAGCATCAGAAAACTGTGGCATGCACTTTGTTGGATGTATAACTGAAAGCAATTTTTTTTGTCTTATGTGAAATGAGAATGATTATAACAGTTGTTTTTTTTTTTTGTTTTTTTTTTCTTTGCATACCCATTAAGGAGATTCACCCTCTCTATTTTCCTGCTTACTGTTATCACTGAAAGTGAAAGAAAATTCCAAATTTTGAGTTATCACAAGAACAGAAATAGAGAGAAAATCTTCCACTGGGGACATTAGTTCTATTGACCGTGGTAAAAACCAGGGAATCTCTTACTTTGGAAGAGATTCTTTTCACTTTCTGTTTTGGCTATGGGACAGGAAATGAAGGAAAATCTCCCCAATGGGACACAGATGCCAAAAAACTGACAGGTTATAACCCTCCCATACTTTAATCAAAATTTTAAAAAAAAGTTTTTCCTTTAGTTCTATTTTAAGCAAGGCTTGCACGCAGTACTCTCCAGGCCATAGAGCAGCTCTAAAGCAGTACCTGTACTTGGATGAGCCACCAAAACGTACTGTCTACAGCTTTTACCCAGCTCTTCTGGACAACCGTCAGCAGGTGAATTTTCTCCCTTGGTACTTCAATCCAGGTAGACATCTTCCTGCACCTCCACCTCTGGATATACCCTCCATCAGGAAGATTCAAGCCACAGGCTTCGAGCCCTTTCTAGCACAACATCCAGCTACATATGCCTCCCCACTAGGTAAAGCCAGGGATGCTAAAGAACTTTCCAAGGTTATTGTATCCTCTTACACCATTTCCAGGGAAAGCAGGCAGATAATGGCATATTACATTCTTGTATTCCTAATATCCATGAGTTTTAGGACTCATGCACACTAGGCTTAAAGTGGTTACAGAGCCTCAAGTTTTTTTACCTTAATGCATTCTATGCATTAAGGTAGAAAACCTTCTGTGTCATAGAGTCGTCCCCTCAACCCCCTTATACTTACATGAGCCCCATCATGATCCTATGCCCTATGCACCTGGCTTTGTTCCTCCTCAGTTAGCAGATCGATAGCACCGGGAGCCATTGGCTCCCACTGCTGTCAATCAACTCCAGTGAGAAGGGAGCTGGAGCAGGGTGTCAATGGACACAGAAGTGGGACTCGGGACCAAGCCTGCACAAGTGCCCTCATGGGAATCAGCTTCCTATTGGGGACACCAGCAAGAGAGGAATAGCCAGGAGCCTCAGCGTGGGACCTGAGAAGAGCAGAATTGTGGATACTCTCTGTGCAATTCTTTTGCACAGAGCAGGTAAGTATAGAAATGCGTGCTATTTAAAAAAAAAAAAAATCCTTACAAGCACTCTAAAAAAGTAACCTTTTCTGGTGTTTGATTTTTTTTTTGCCTGTAAACACAACTCTATGTTAGCTTATATGTTCATGTACACAGGCGTACAGGTGTATTAGAAGAGGAGCATTTACAGTCAGAAAAAACACCATTACCAGTGTTTTCAGGAAAGGAGATTTTGGCCAGCTCAGAAACATGCTTGATGCGCCTAAATGGGTTTTAATGCATCTAGACACGTTTAGCACTTCAGCACTCATTCATTCTAAAGGCCAGAATAAATGAATACTCTGGTCAATGAAATCCAAAAATTTTTCAAAAACGTGACGTGCCTGAATACATCTAAATGTGTTAAAACGCATGTGCAAAATGTGGCTTTAGACAAAATTTTTAAGCAGCTTTTCTCATGCCAGGAGAAAAGGCATTTGGGGGAGCTGAGCAAATGCTCCGTGTGCATGAGGTCTCAGTGCGTTTCATTGTACGTTACTATATACTGTATGTCAACAGTAAAGAAAGGATACAATTACTAAAGACATGAGAAGACTGCAAGCTTTTACTTTTGACTGTATGAACTCGGAACAAAATTCCACTGTAAGCAGGAAATAGCATCTCTTGTAACCATGAGAGAATGTGGCTGCAGGAAATGAATCACAATTTATAGGAAATAAACACAAATATCTCAAAAGTAAAGAAGCTGACATGAATGGATAAACTGAAAGCAGACTGCCACACAAAGCAAGTGTTAGACAATGATTATTGTCTGTGCACAAATACCTAACTTCTGGTTCATATTTTGTCTCCATGGGGACCTATTAATACAGATAAACACTCACCGGCCACATTATTAGGTACACCTTGCTGGTGCCAAGAAAATATCCCCCACACCATTACACCACCACCACCACCAGCCTGAACCGTTGATACAAGGATCGATGGATCCATGCTTTCATGTTGTTTACACCAAATTCTGGCCCTACCATTTGAATGTTGCAGCAACCAGTCTGCCCATTCTCCTCTGACCTCTGACATCGCAAGGCATTTTCCTCCACACAAATGCAGCTCCCTGGATATTTTCTCTTTTTCGGACCAATATCTGTAAACCCTAGAGATGTTGTGTGTGAAAATCCCAGTAGATCAGCAGTTTTTGAAATACTCAGACCAGCCCCCCTGGCACCAACAACCATGCCACGTTCAAAGTCACTTAAATCCCCATTCTGATGCTCGGCGTGAACTTCAGCAAGTCATCTTCACCATGTCTACATTACGGTTTGGCTTGATGTTTGAGTCGAACATAAGTTCCACTCAAACATCGGCCGTTTGTGTGTTCAGCGAACACACAACAGGTAAGGGCGTTCTGCAGGGCTGTGCGCCAGCAGCGTCGCACGATGCACTGTGCTCTGACAGTGCATTGTGATTGGCCAAAGCAATGCACCTGACCACAAGTCACAGGCCAGTGGGGGTGACCCCGCCCCCTTGTTACATCATCACAGTATTTAAGAACTGTCATCCCCACGCAGCTTTAAGACAGCAGGAGCCAGTATCGGGTCAGCGAATCTACCTCAGGGTACTTTTTTTTTTTATTTTTGTTTTTAATAAAGGACTTATCAAAGACTGTCTACTGTCATTTTTTTACTCTACACTTTTTTTTTGATTGAATGAGTAGCGTTACCATGTACCCCATACTCATTGACATGGGGGGGCCGGGATCTTGGATCCAGATTCCAATAAGCCCCCCGCCCTCAGACCTTCACAGCCACCGGCCACGTTGTGGGGAAGAGGCCCTGCCCCAAAGCACCCCCCCTTTCCTGAATTCCGGGCTGCATGCTCAAATAAGGGTCTGGAATGGATTTTGGGGGGACCCTCATGTCATTTTTAAAACATTTTGGCATGGGGGGTTCTATTCAAACTCCATACCAGACCCGAAGGAATTGCCGGCAATTCTTTTTACATTCAGCTGTCAGTGGGGAACAGCACCGACAGCTCAAACATTAAAGAATGTTTTCACTACTAAAATACCTTATGACTTAATAATATAACTCATGCGGTATTTTAGTAGCTGTGCAGTATCTTACCGCATACTCAGATG